TCATTCATTCTGATGGGACGTAGAAGAGCATGGAAGAGGGAGTTAGTGTTGCTACATTTTAAATACATTTCAAAATTAACCTTAGTAAGAACCAAAATATCTCATCCTCTTCTTAACCAGATACTTTATTTTTGGTTTAACTTCAACTGTAGCTTACATTAAATATTAATGCCTTAATGTTTTCTTGAACATAACTTTATAGCTTGATAGCAGGAAGGAGAGGGAAAAATCACTGTTGCTTGTCACCAATTTGGTTTGTGTACCTCAAACATAATGGTGCCAAGTCCCAAGGTATTTGCTGTCACCGTTCCTGCTGGCACTGTTTTATTTATTTATAAACACATCTCCAAAAGGCAAGCAGAAATTGAACTGCGGTTTATAATTAACCATGTTTCTCTAATACCTGTAAAATCCACCCAAATAATGCCTTTTCCTTTCATCCTAGGAATAAAATAACACTGATTTTGGGCTTTGCAGTGCATCCTGAGGTTCAGTAAATTTAGACTTTGAATAGATTCATGAGGTAGGGGAATGGATTCCATAATTAAGAATCTCCAGGCAAGATCTTGTGCCTATCCCCCTCTTGTTTTAAAAACCGTTCATTTGAACACCATGTCTGATTTTTCCTTTAGTCAGAGAGGGGGTATTCGTATCTATTATAACTAAGGTCTATTTGTTTAGCTCATGTCAGAGGTGTTGGAATTAGGGATGTTAAATATTTATTGAATAGTCGCTTAATCTCATGAATTCTTAACAGTTACTTGACTATTCTATAGTTCCTGGGGGTGGAGCCAGCAGCCAGTGTGCTCTAGCTCCACTCCCAAGGAGCCCCCTGCCACTTTGCACTGCTGACTCTGGAGCTGGTCTGCGAGGGGAACCAGTTTAAAAAACCAGCTTCTCTTGAGGACTGGCTGCCTGTTGCCCCACATTGCTGCCTCTGTATCAGGCAGCAGTCCCTGTGCAGGGGCTTCCAGACCTAGTGTCAGCTGTCACTGAGCCAGGCTGCTGGCCAGCCTGCTAAAAATTTTCTGGCATGGGGGGAGGAGTGGAATTACATGTCGTCTATAGTATTAACCTATAAGCTTTTGCTTATAGGTTAATCGACTACACTATTACATCCCTAATTGGAATTCCAGTCCTACCTTTCTATAAGGTCTCATTTAGGAAAGTGTACATTGTAAGGGCCAAACTGTGAAGGTCTTGTAACATGCAGAGTGCAAAACAGATCCAAATATTAAAGGACTTTTAAAAATAAATCAAAAACAAAAATCCTGATAGAGGCCTTGTTAGTAGAGGGAGATGGTAAAATTGTCGATGTAGAAAAGTAGAGATGTCTTTTATGTTTGGAATGAAGCTTGGTGATATTCTATTCCAACAGTAATAAGTTGCTTTTTAACATTTCCTTTCATTAAAATACGAACACTTTAAAATCTGGCCTGGATAACTTGCATCTAGGAGTTCGAAGGATTGACTGAGGAGTTTTGCCTCATTTATATTAGATTTTAATAAATTTGGGCAAGTTCCAGAGAGACAAGACTCACTGCTTTGCCAGTATTTAAAAATTTAAACTAGGCCACCTAGCTAACTGTAGGTCAGAAAGCCTGGCTTTGATCCCAAGGAAAATAAAGCAGGGGCTGCTAAGAGACCATAGGTGAAGGATAAAAATATAATTATGACAATGTGGCTGCATGGAAAACAGGTCTTATCAAATGAGCAGTTTCCTGTTTTGGTATCAGTACATTAAAAAGGATATTGGGGGAGGGGAAAGGAAAAAGATGGAGTGTTGAGGTGAGGGGGAGTCCAGAATTTTCCATATCTTGATAACTGGCTCATTAAGGGTGGGTCTTTGGAACAGGTACAGAAAAGCTTTAGTCTGGTTCACTACATTGCAGTGACAGAGTCCTGATGACAAACAGAATAGCCCACTTGAATGCCATTCCAGCACATAGAGTTTATCAGAGGGCCTTCTTTACAGAAGCACATTTTAAAGCCATGGTGGATCTCCTTGCCCACAGAGACATCCTATCACCATGATCCGTACCTTGCCTGTGGCTGATGGGTCACAAAACAGCATGCATGTATGTGGTCAGACATGTCTGGCTTCATCTGTGACCCCAGAAGACCCCCTGAACCAAGCAGTCATGGTACTGCACTGCATCCTCTCAGCCTTGAACTGGTGGCTAGACCCTGAGTCAGTGCTGTGGGGAGTTCCCTTTGTGTCCTTATCACTGTCTCACCCTGTTTTTGGATGCATCAGATGTGAGCTGAGGTCTCAACTGGGCAAGCTTCGCTACAGCACAATCTAGCCCTTCATATCAGTGTCGGGGAGCTCTGTGCAGTTCACCTGGCCTGTCAGATGTATTTGCCCCCACCTTAATGGCAAAGTGGTGCAGGTCCTAAAGGACAGTATGGCTGCGATGTATTGTATCAACAGACAGAGTGCTGCCAGGTCCTCAGCCCTTGTGTCAGGAGGTATTCAGCCTCTGGTGGATATTCACCTACCTGTAGCCAAGAACATCTTGGCAGATCACCTCATTAGGACCTTCTTTAGCCACAAATGGTCTCTCCATATGGAGGTGGTCAAACTGATTCCCCAACAGTGGGGGACTCCTCAGGTGGATCTGCCTGGATCCATTCTCTATAAATCAGGGACAAGAGATCCCTGTTAGATGCCTTCCTGATTCTGTGGTCAGTGCCCCGATGTACGCCTTTCCTCTGGAGTTGCTGATTCACTGGGACCTGCAAAATGTGAAGCGAGACACAGTGCCGGTGATTCTCAGAGTCTCATCATGGTCTCTCTAGCACTGGTTGGGATGCTGCTGAGTTTTTGGCTATGTCTCCGTTGCAGTTACCCCTGGAATTTCCTCTTTGTTTGCATCTGCTATCCCAGAGCCAGGCAGTCTGCTGTATCTGAACCTGATGATGTGGCTGCCCTGTGGCTAAGTACAGATGAGCATGGAGTGCTCTGCTGTGGTCCAGCAGGGAATGCTGGGCAGCAGGAAGCCTTGCATCAGCTACCCATGTAGCAAAGTAGAAGCACTTTGCACATTGGACCTGACACACATGCATTCGTCCTGAGGAGACCTCAGTGCAGCACATCCTGGATTATTTGCTGCAACTGAAGCCCCAGAGCTGCTTTTTATCTTCAGACAAGGTACACCCGATGGCCATTTTGCCTTCCACACACTTCAGGGCAGGTTGACCTTTGCCCATGCCATGGTGATGCGTTCCTGAAAGGTCTAAAGTTCTGGTGTAACTGCTGCTTGTGAGTCACTTAGAATGGAATTGATGTGAGCAAGCACTCGGAAACTGTTTTGTCTTCTCCTACCTTCCGTAACTATTCTTTGAGGTGTGTTGCTCATGTCTATTCCATTACCCACCCTCTGTTGGAGAAGGAACTGAGAGGGTGTGGATTGGCAATGCCTGATGTACTGCAGCATGAACGTAGCACTCTAGAGGGCACCCCAGCACTATGGGTACTGCTAAGGCCAAAATCTCTGACAGCCATGTGTGTGAGTGCGTGTGCGCCTTGAATGGAATAGACATGAGAACACATCTCAAAGAATAATGGTTACAAAAGTAGGTAACCATTTAATCCTTGCTGTTTAACTTTACCAAAAAAAAATAAGATTCAGTGGCTCAAAGTTGAAGCTAGAAATATTCAAAGTGGAAATAAAGTGCAAAATTAACATTCAGGGTAATCTACCATTGGTATACAACAGATTTTTCCATATCTTGAAGAAACTAAATCAATATTGGATGTTCCCAAAGAGTTCCATTACTTCATCTAAAGTTATTAGGCTCAATGCAGGAACTACTTGTGAATTCATGAGATGTGAAATTCTGTGGCTATTATACAGGAAGTCAAGGTAATCATACTAGAACTTTTTGGCCTCCAAATCTTTGAATGTGACTTGGCACTAGGATTCTTAGCAGCTTTCTAAATCGAAGACTTGAAGGACACAAAGACTTACCGTCTTTTCTCTTTGTTTTCTTCTACTCAATATTGCTGTGACTGTGGTTTTTTTTCCAGCTGCCTCAAGATTTACCTTGGCAGCAGAAGTATTGAGTCCCTGATGGTATGGATCAATTCTAATAAACAAAGCAGAATTTAATGACCTGTTTCTTTATTTGGAATGTGGAATGACCAAAACATGTCTTCACTTGCTTTATATCTTTGTACTCTGCATTTTAATGTGCTGTGGAATGGGAGATGTGAAATCATTGTAGGTAAAATCATCCTTTATATTAATGCTTTTATAAAACAGGTTTCTGAAGTTTGTTTCCATTTCTAGATCAAAATCCTGTCATCTCTCTGTACAGGAGTTTTCTGTAACTTGTGTTTAAACCTTTCTGTTCATAAGTGCTTTTTTACTTAGTGGAATATTAGAGGGGCAACTGTCTTTAACGTATTAATATGACTGTTGAACATCTGATTTCCTGGTTTCACTATTGGAGAATCTTGCAAGTCCAGCAAAGATGAGCAAATCAATACTTCATAGCACAATACAGTGGGCATAATTTTCATATAAACAGATTTGAGTGAAGTGATAAAATGTGCCTGATTTGATTAAAGTCTGAAGCATAAAACTTGTAAATCCTGCATTGAGATTGACTGTAGCCTCATCCTGGGAGACCAGAATTATAAATTTTTGGCAGCACCTTCCCATGGTGATTCAAGGATTTAGTACTAAATTAGATCTAGAGAGACTGTGTTCATGTAGCAAATAGTTTTGCATTGCATTGGTAGGAAAATGAGCTACATGATCAGATATAAAATCCACAGATAAACTTTACAGAATTGCACTGAATTTTCTAGACTTGTTTTGTGATTGGAATAACCATGGATACCACTTTCAAAAGCACCAGTCACTTGAAAATTTTACTACTTGTTGAATTTGAAACTTCATCTCAACTGCTAGCCCATATTTTGTTTTAGTGTAGAACATAATATTTTCGTTATCAGTTTTTATTTTAAATGTTTGTTTTTTCTCTTCCAGAGTTCGGAGGAATGCGACTCTAAAGATGAACCAGCTCAGGAAGATGAAGGCTTTATGGGTATGTCCCCTCTTCTACAAGCCCACCATGCCATGGAGAAAATGGAAGAGTTTGTATGTAAGGTAAGAGAGAGCTTAATTTAGCTAGTAGGTTCCAGTGACTGACAGGCTATGTACCTGAAGTAAATTGTACCAGCAAGAAGCTGGGGGAACAGTAGATGTACAACGGGAGCTGGTCGTTCAACAATTCTCTATTGTCAGCTTCATGTGTGATTTTCTGTAATGGTGTGTTGGGGGACCTTCTACATGAGCAGGCACATAAATAGGTGGAAAGGAATACAAGAATTGGGAATGGCATAGGTCTCCTGTTAGTGTCAGAGTTCAGATCCTTGTTGGTCCTCTGCTTCTTGGGCTGCTAGTGCTGGAAAGGCATCAAGCTTAGCCACAAGAAAAAGAATATTCCTCACTTGATTTTAATGTCTTTCTGTGCTTTTGAGATGGTACTGACTATATTTTACATATTAGATGTAAAATAAAAGTGTACCAAACACTAGTGAGCATGCAGTTAGGATGGAAAGATGGGACTCTTTTCAGGGCCTTTTCTGTTGATGGAGAAGACCTACACCTAGTTTTCCTCAGTGAAGTGAATAGGAAATACACCCATCCAACAGATACTAAGTCCTTACTGCACTATGAACCAGTCATGTTAAATCCACTTTTTGCCTTTGTTGAGCAGTTACAGTGAACCTAGTTGTGTGTCCATGATTGGAACATTGAAGTATTCCATTTCCTGCACTGGTGGCAGCAGCATTTGTGTTGTGTAGAGTAGGGACCAGAATGACTTGGACTTGAGCATAGAGATACACCTTTCCCAAAGGGAACTGTCTGCTCCCTAGACTTACTATGTTAATTTTGGCTACTTGAAAGCACAGACCAACTCAGGATTTCGTTTTTTCCCTCCCCTTTGCCACATCCACCACTTACTGGACTTCACTGGCTGAGATTATAACCATGTGCTCTTAACCTCCAGGTATGGGAGGGCCGATGGCGGGTCATACCCCATGATGTTCTTCCTGACTGGCTAAAGGACAATGATTATCTGTTGCATGGGCATCGACCACCTATGCCCTCTTTCCGTGCTTGCTTCAAGAGCATCTTCAGAATACACACGGAGACTGGCAACATCTGGACGCATCTTCTAGGTATTTCCATTTAAAGTGAATGTGCAGTGTTAATTATTGAAGATCATAAGCATCTGGGGAAAAATTTTTAAATGGACTGAGCCAGCCTGGCATGCACTTGACAGCAACGACTCCTGTTCTGTGGAGTGGGCCTGATCCTTCACTCTGGTCTGCTGGTTCATTGCTCTCGTGTTGGAGGAGCCTGTCACAGCATCACATGAGGGCATCTGTGTTCAGGCGGAGTCCTGTCCCTGCAATGTCCTACCCAGTCTCCTTTCCCGGCCCTGGTGCTGTCATATGCAGGGCATTAGGATCCCCTCTTCCTCTGGGACTTTGACCCCATCTCTGCGAACCTTCCTAGGAAGTGCCATATAAGAGCTAACACCTCCTCTTAGGATTGAGGAATCTAGCTCTATCTGCCAGGAATTCTTTGTGCAGCCATGTATGGGGCTTTGCTTGCTCACATGGGGGATGCATGCGAGCAGCGGGATGGCTCCAAATAGATTTGGGGGTGGCTGAGGCCGCCCCTAGACCTAGCCACCTGTTGCCTAAGTTTAGGGGTGATGACAAAGGTCGTTTCAGCTAGAGCAGAGTTATAGGTACAGTTATCCTTTCAGCAATGACATACTGGATAAGGTTCCAGGTGTCCATTTTTTAAAATTCTCCCACCAAAGATATGGGGGGGAAGGGAGTTACGGTGATCTTGTCTCTGGTGTTCAGCCCCTCTTGGGACTGCTAACTCAGCACTGTAAGATCTGATCATTGGGACCCATAAGCATACATCTGAAGATCACTTCTGGCCTTCAGAGTGCACAAAAGTTTTAACAAGTG